GAAACTGCTCAATGCAGGTTACCAGTGGTCATTTCATCGACTAGTCCGCATCTCCTTTGTCTTAGCGGTAGCACTTGACAGTCATTTTCTAACCCTGAAAAAGTCTTTAATTTGCTTGAGGATACCACAATAAATTGATTTTCTTATAGGTTGCTGCTTTTCATTTTTTATAGCATTTGATACTTCTGATTATTGCCTCTATCATTTCTCCCCCAGATTTTATTTAAAAATTTTTTAAACTAAAGTTAAAAGCATTATCCTTATAATTTTTTGTTAACTTTTTTTCTGATTATAAAAGCAATACAAGTTTTGATGATCATACTGTGGTTATATAAGATGTCATCATTGGGGGGAACCTGCGTGAAGTATATATGGGAGCTCTTTGTACTATTTTTTCAACTTCTGTATGAGTCTAAAATTATTTCAAAATACATTTATTCACTACATTTTATTGAGCTCCTACGATATGCCAGGTACTATTCTAACCCCTGGGAATATAGTAGTGGCCAAATTGACAAAAATCCCTGCCCTCATGAAACTTATATTTACTGGAGGTAATCAATAATAAATAAAAAGTATGTATTATGCTAGGTAGTATAAATGCTAAAGAGAAAAAGTAAGGTAGAAAAGCAGAGATGGTGCATAGGAAATGACAGGGATAGAGAAGAGGGGTTGAAATTTTAGGTATGGTGACAAGGATAGCCAAATGCCTCATTGAGAAAGGGGACCTTGAGGAAGGACTTGAAAGAAGTAAAAAAGCAAGCCATGAAAATATTTAGGGAAGAGGGCTTCAGAGCCTTTGTTTATACCTGAAATTATTAACTAAGGTCCTAAAGTAGGTACATGCTTGCGGTGTGTTGGGAATGGTGAGGAAACTACTGTGGTTAGTGTGGTAAACAATGAAGTCCTAGAGGTGGGGTTGGGGAGAGGTAGCAGAGAGCAGTTTGGTACATGAATCAGGAGTTCAGGCTGAAGATAATAGTTTGAGTGCCATCAGCGTACACATGATATTTAAAATTATGTAACTAGATAAATCCACCAAGAGATTGAGTGTAGACAGAGAAGAGAAAATGTCTGGATTAAACTCTGGGTTACTCTGACATTTAAGGGTTGGGGGTTTGAGAAGGAATCAGCAAAGGAGACAGAGTTCTTCCCTTTAGGATTATGTCTTTGTTGGCATGTGAAGTCCTCCATGTACTAACCCAGGTTTACCTCATCTCTTACTACTTCTCTTCTCACTACTTATAGTTATAAAAAATATATTGTGCTCATTTTCTGGGTTCTTTCTACATGCTTTTCCATTCTTTGAAGCACTGTTTCTTTCCTCCTGTTCTCCATCCCTGATTAACTCCTTTATATCTTTTAGAATTCACCTCAACAATAGCTTCCTCAGTGGTCTGCCAGACGTGGTTTAGTTTCCCCTTCTATGTACTGTACACATACCCAGCATCACACAATCTTCTTACTCCCATTATTGCTCATAAGCACTTTCTCTCTTTTTCTATTTTTCTTTCTGGATTGGAATTGCTTACTTATGTATCTCCTCCAGTAGATTATGATCCTTGAGGTTCTATGTCCTATTCATCATTTAACATTTAGCACAGTGCTGAATACTTGGTTGGCACTTAAACAATATTTAATAAACTAGAGAACCAATAAATTAATTAGCCATAATAGAAAGAGAAGAGCTTATACAGGCTTAGCCTTTGGAGACAGTGAAGTTGGAGTGTAGAGCAGGGTTTTTGTGAAAGAGGGTGTTATTTAGGCATCAGAGGAAGCAAGAAACATGTCGGCAAGCCAGAAGTTACCAATATTTTTTTTGTAGCAATAAATATCTAGGTACAATGGCTTGATTAACTTCTTTTCGGTCTTCTTTATTGAAAAGCTGCCTGGCAGACATAGTGTTCTACCAAGCAGGTAGATACAAGTACAGTGGGTTCATTATTTTGAATGTTTATTTGTATAAGATGTTTTGAATACTTGATTCCCTTTTCATTTTCTAGCAAACTACTCCAATCTGGCAGGTGTTTGAGAGTTGCAGCTTCCATAGAGATGTGAATAAAGCAATAGTTTGTTTCTTTTTTAATTTATTAATTAATTTATTTATTTTTGGCTACGTTGGGTCTTCGTTGCTGTGTGCAGGCTTTCTTTTTAGTTGCGGCAAGCGGGGGCTACTCTTTGTTGCAGTGGGCAGGCCTCTCATTAACATGGTTTCTCTTGTTGTGGAGCACGGGCTCTAGGTGTGTGGACTTCAGTAGTTGTGGCACATGGGCTCAGCAGTTGTGGCTCGAGGGCTCTAGAGCACCAGCTCAGTAGTTGTGGCACATGGGCTTAGTTGCCCTGCCGCATGTGGGATCTTCCCGGACCAGGACTCAAACCCGTGTCCCCTGCATTGGCAGGCAGATTCTTAACCACTGCCCCACCAGGGAAGCCCTAAAGGAATAGTTTTAAATGAAGGGTCTTCATATTGAGTATGAACCTTTTTAAGAGTCATGGAATTGTTATTAAACTTCAGAGAAGCATAACTCGTCAGTAGAAGGGTGGAGACAGATTTAAAAGCCAAAAACTTTTAAGGAATTTAAGGAGTGGAACCTAGAAAAGGTGTTAGGTAGAAATAAGGTTTCTTTGTTTATAAGTGTATTAAATGAAAATAAAGGGTTTTGAGTCACATTTTAAAATATTTTTTTAAATTTTGCCGAACGTTAAAAGCATTTTTTTTCTGTAGCATGACCATAAATATTTTTAAGGTGAGACAAATATAACCTCTACATAAAATATTATGATTTATTTTCAGTGTGGCACAGTTGAGCTACATTTCAAATGGGAAGTAACATTGATAGGGAGCACTCATGTGAAACTGTGTTCAAAAGAAAAAGCCCAAGTTTCAAAAAATGTTTTATTCTGAATATTGTCCTCTGTATAGTTTTAATTTTAAAAGTGTTTTCAGATCCAACTAAAGTTCAATTTAGAAATATAATTTATATTTTTTACTTTCTCAGATGAAGCTTTAAGCATATGTTTCTAATAATTCAGTTAAAATATGCTGGGTTGTATATTTTTTAAAAGAATCTGCATTGAAAAGATTCCAAAATATTTGTTTGAACAGGCACTCAGCATCTTGATGAAAACTGTTGGAAAAGAAAAACTTTCAGAGTCATTCTGCTCTCTGAGTACCCAAGCCAACTAAACTGGTACAGTTAACACTTCTGTAAGAGGCCAGGAGCCAAGAAATGTAGCTCTTCCTGGACTGCTTTTCAACAGGCCTTCAAGCCAACTTAGTGCTTGATATTAATACCATTGAATTTTCAGATAATAAGCTACAAGTAGAACATCTACAACTCTTTCTATCAATATCATACTTGTTAGTCTCTACTAGTAATCCTTGATTAGCTTAAATCTCTGCTTTATGTTGGCATTAAAGCTGTAGCTTTAATTTTGTCGGATATCATACTTATAAAACAAGAAGAGAATGCCCTGTAGAGTGTGACCCCACACTGTCTCCCAGACAAATATTTTTACATTGCTTTTTAGTACTACTGAGTGTCACAGTAGAGATGTAAATTATTTAGAACACATTAATGCTTTGGAAGGCGAGATAGTTATCTCAGCCTACCAAATTTATAAGTAGGGATAGTTTATTTGGCCTCCAACCCTTTCGTTTTCATTGTATCCCCTTGAGATTTATTGATACCAATGAATTCATTTAGCAGTTATATGCTTACTATAGGTAGTATGTCATGTTGATCTCTGTATCCACATACTTGCTCTAGTAAGTGCTCTTAGATATTTGTTGGATTGAACTAGAAAGTACCCACCAAATTTAGATGCTGTGATGGAGAGTAAATAATAAAAGAAAGATTCAAAGATTCTGTATGCTAACTAGAGAGACTAGGCTAAATTTAATTTCTCTAATATCACAGAGTTATTTGGAAAAATAGCATAAACTAAAATTCTAGTCACTTGGTTTTTCAAGTGCTTCCCACAAGATTAGATTAACAGTGTCTCCAAAAATGGTTACCATACTTTAATAACTTTTAAGCTTATTTCAGAACTGTAAATGCAGAAGACTTATGTGGAACCAGTGATAAACCTCCTGGCTTTTTTCCCCTTTCTTATTTGGATCTGTGTATAATCTGAAATAGCAAATTATATACAATTTGGGAGACAGTGTCATTTGTGACTTCAGGGGATCTGAGGAATGCAGTCATTTCATGAGCTTGTGCCAGATCTTTCCATTTTGGGTAGTTTATTAATGGAAAGAAAGCAAATGGAGGGAGTTTCAATAAGGAACTGAATGGGTTAATGACTGAAAATGATGATTGAAAACCATAATCTGCAGTTGATTGGGACATAGTTATGAGGAGAAAGCATACGTATAAATAGTAACATAATGGTATGTTACTGAAATCTAAGAAAAGTAGAATGAGACAAAATATCTCTAGTATCTTGATGTTCTATTTGATAGTATTTTGGATAAGTTTCATAAGGGAGATGGTTGAGATCACTAATCCTTAGTACATGAACCAACAAATAGGAATTGTATTTATCATAAGAAGTAACTTTGGCCCGTAAAGAAGGAGTAGAGACTCTTAACTAGAGGAACATTTTTGTCTGTAATTTCTCTGATTCAGTGCCAGATGCTTTTTGAGAGAACATTCAAAGCCGTGTCTGTCTGAGTTTCATTGTTGAAAACTGCCAGCTGCTATATTTCTTTTTAATAACTGATTGAAAGTCTTTCCGTTATGTCTCCTCTATTGCAAAATTCCTTAAGTTTAAAAAAGTGTGTTTAAAGTAATAGCATTATGAAACAAAAGCTTTATTCTGTGGATTGGATAATACTTCTCTTGTGACATTTTCTTTTCCCACCAAAAGTGAGAAGTGAATGCCTTGCCTTGGTACATCCCATTTCTAATGGAGGACAAGAAGTTATTTTCTTCAATGGCTGACTTCCAGAATTTCTGCCTGAACGTTCTTTGTCAAGTGTATATTCCCTTCTCTAGGCCTTTCTATATAGAGCCCACAAACATCGTCAGTGTGAATGATGTCATTCAGAGGGTTAGTGACCATGCCTCTGCAATGAACAAGAGGATTCATTACTACAGCCGGCTCACTGCTCCTGCAGACAAGGCACTGGTAAGGGGCAAAGCATTGCTAATTGTCTCAGCTTAAGTTGAAATGAACTGAACAACATAAGCCACGGCAGCTCCCAGTAGTTGAACTTTTTGCTGGCCATATTCCAAGGACAGCATCATGGAAAGTCAAAGATATTAATTAATACGTCTTACATCTCAGGCTAGTTCATTCTTATTAGCCTGGCATAGAGAGATTTGAAACAATCTCTCTATGTTGACAACAGCCTAGAGATTTGTTGGATTAAAATTCTGCTAATCCATAATCCTAAAAGCTTTGAGGAGGATAAAGTTGAAGTAGTTTAGGTCATTGATTAATAACATAAATAATAACAAGTTCTGGTTAGTCTATTCAATTTTTAAGTTTGAAGCTACAAGGGAAAAATGTTTATAGAAATTTTCTACAGGAGTGAGAAACTGAAATATATACATACATATATTTTTTTCCTATTTGGTGATGTCCTTTTATAGATCAAAAAGCAGGGTCAAAGAGCAGATACTAAACATTTGAAGCTTTGTGGGCCACCTGCTGTTGCATATTCTTCTCTACTTTTGTTTTATAATCATTTAAACAGCCCCTTACCAAAGGGGCTGTTAAGGTTGAAGGCTAGATTTGGCCCATGGGCTATGGTTTGTTGACTCTTGATCTTACAAAATCTGTGTTATTATCTTAGAATCAAAAATATGTAAGTAATTTCATTTCTTATAAGAATTAACGATATTCAGAAATTTGGAAGTTGAAAGAAAAATGAAGCATTCTGAGAAAAAAATAATGATTTTTTTATAGGTAGTAATAAAAAGGGAGAAGGGAATTCAACACTCTAAATGTTTACTGAGGGGCAAGGACTGGGCTAGTCACTTGAACACAGATATCTCATTTTAAGCCTTGTGAATTATTAAGATCTCCTTCTGTGTCATCATAGTAGGGACTTCCAAAATATTCTGGGTGGGATAATTTTTTTCCCCAATTTTTTCACTTTTTCTTCCCCTAGGTCTTTACATCAATAGTTGTGATAAAGTCTTAGTTCCATGTCAGAATTATCTAAGCCTTCTGGGGAGTAGAAGTAATCCAATATCTCTGGGTCTAGTTCAGACCTCCTAGAGACTGTACTTATGGAAGCAAACTTCAGAGATACCAACTGGGCCAGTCTAGGTCTGAGTGTATGTTGTTTGCCTGGAAATTAAGTCAGCATTGTACACCAAGTTGAATCCCTTTTGTTAACTGACAGTGAGATGAGTCTAGTTAATCACAGTATATAAACAGTGATCTAAAATTAATAATATGACCATTTTTAATGATTGTGTGTATACATCCATGCTCATTTTCTGAGAATCCCAAAGTTATTTTTCCTAAAAGACCTTTTAGGGAAGAGTAATATGAAACCACAGGTGTCAGGTCTTTACACAGTTACACCTTTTTATTTCTGAAAATTTCCCCACTTAGTTAATATTTTTACTCTAAATTGGGGAAGGGTAGTAAATTATTTGGCTGCTGACATCTCCTAGATGCTTGCTAATAAAAGTGTGACCTGCACAGGCCAGCAATATCAGCATCACTGAGAGCTTGTTAAAAGGGCAGAATCTCAGTCCTTGCTCCAGATCTACTGAATCAAAATCTGTATTTTAACAAATTCTCTGTGTGAATCACAAGAACATTCAAGTTTGAAAAGCACTGTCCTAGACCACTGATGAGAGTGTGGGATCCAATCTTCCAATTTTTCTGTCTCTCCTAATAATTTCTTATCCTGTAGCTTCTAATCCTATCCCTGATAACTTTTGATTTTCACTTTTTCTGAACTTGCTCTGCTAGATATCATGGTTTATCTGCTGCCTGATACAGACATGGTCCTGCCCCTTTTTTCTTTTTACTCCATAGTAGAAGACAGCAGAACTCAGACCCAAGAGGACTGAGGGTAAAGAGAAGGCAGCAGACCTATTTCCATATATGCTTTTGTATCTATAGGAAATAGTTGTTTCCAAAGCCACACCAGGCATGGCATTCAAGACATTCTTTGCCCGCAAGACACCACCAATCATATGCATAAAGAGAGAAGGATTTGATATTTTTTCTTTTTGCACCAGTTCGTATCCTGTCTACCTGCTGAGTCCTAATGCCCCACTTTCTTGAGGTGTTTCCCAACTATTCTAGTCCCCATTGTTGTTGTTATCATTATTATTGTCATTCCTGTGTTCGAGTTGAACACTTAATTTTTATTCTTATAGCGTTTTCTAATTGTTTCACATGTGTTCCAACTGGTATTTAAACTTCTTGAAGTTAGGGGTTGTATATTATTTTTACTTGAATGCTAAACCTAGCACAGAGTTGTAGATTTACATAGTAAGTACTGATATAAAAGATTGTTGATTTATACCAGTCAGCTCCTACGTCTTTAATATTATGTGTAAGGACTACATATTCTCAAAGGACAATTCTCAGGGAGATGGTCAGAATTCCATCAGGAAACCATATTTTTTTCCCCTCCAAAATAGGGAGGTAGAATTAGAAAGAAATGTGTCAGGGTAAGGTGGGAGCTATGTGTATAAAAATGTATATCTATTCAATTGTTCTTTCTGTGTACGTCTTCAACCTCTCTATTGGCTCCTTCCCTTTTGCTTACATCTTCTGTCTTTAAGAACCCTTGCTTTGCCTTTTCCTTAAGCCACTTTAGCTCACCTTTTTCTTCTGGTACCAAAGCATTTAGAAGAATAGTCCATATTTATTATTCCTTTCTTTCCCTTCTATTGACTCCTCAATTCTTTATAGTTTGAGTTCCCTACCTGCCTCTTTGCTAAAACCACCTTCATATAGGAGTTTGGTGACCACTTCATTCTTAAAATTTCCCTCACTTCAGACCCAAGTCTCCTCCATCTAGAATTACTTAATCTAGGTCTTTGCTGGCTCTTCTTCCTCCTGTCTCATGAAAATGAAGAGAAGAATATTTTGACAATTGCATACTCTAGGAATTCATTCTCATTTGAGATGAACAGTTTATTGTTTATAGTATTTAAACTCTTGCTCCTTTAGATCTTCTACTCTATTTGAAAAATAATTTTTATATTAATCAGATATACACACTATTTAATTGTTCATGATATTTGGAAATGTGTCTAGAGTCAGGTACTCTGTTGTATAGAAAATATCCTCTGTTGCACATTTACTGGTTCTAACATTTCTGTACTTTTTTTTTTTTAACCAGGTTGCCCCAGATCATGTAGTTCCAGCTCCAGAAGAGTGCTATGTGTATAGTCCATTAGGTTCTGCTTATAAACTTCAAAGTTGCACTGAAGGATATGGTAAAAACACCAGTTTAGTAACCATGTGAGTAAAACTACTTTTTGGAGCATAACAAACTTTTTGTAAACAAAAGTTATTGATTATTTTAATTTTTTGTCTTAATTAAAATGTTTGAAGAGTCAAACGTCATATTTTTACTGCTGTTACTCTGCTTTCAGTTTTATGATTTGGAATACCATGATGGGAACATCTATACTAAGTATTCCTTGGGGCATAAAACAGGTAATATAATTTTCAGCACACTTTTTACCAGAATTTTTTTCTCTTTGTATTTTAAGTTTTACAATAGAGGTTTTAATAAATCTACATAAAATTTATTAAAGAAAATAGATGATTATATTTATTAATTTTAATTTTATTTATTTATTTTTTGGCTGAGTTGGGCCTTCGTTGCTGCACGCAGGCTTTCTTTACTTGCGGCGAGTGGAGGCTACTCTTCGCTGCGGTGCGCGGGCTTCTCATTTGCGGTGGCTTCTCTTGTGGAGCACGGGCTCTAGGCGCGCAGACTTCAGTAGTGGCAGCACGCGGGCTTCAGTAGTTGTGGCACGTGAGCTCAGTAGTTGTGGCTTATGGGCTCTACAGTGCGGGCTCAGTAGCTGTGGTGCATGGGTTTAGTTGCTCTGCAGCATGTGGGATCTTCCTGGACCAGGGATGGAACCCGTGTCCCCTGCATTGGCAGGCAGATTTTTAACCACTGCACCACCAAGGAGGTCCCTAGATGATTATATTTAATTTTACATTAGTTGTCTGGTTTTTAATCATAATTGTTTAGGGTAACAATATGGTTATATATGAATTTATTCTAAAATGATGATATATGTTGTTCTGTATTTTTATAAACAGGCTGGGTTTACTACTGGAATGTGTGTCATCATGCTGATGGGCCTTTTAACACTTTATTGCTGCTACAGAGTGGTGAAATCACGAACTATCATATGTAAGAACTTGCCACTGTAAAAACAGATGAGTGATATGGGTATTAAGAATTTATGCTGAGGTAGATCACTAATGTGTACATTTCACAAATGTGTTAACTATTTTCTGCCTAAAGATTTATTTCTCTAATTCATAGCATTTGACTGAACTGATATGTTAATGAATTTAGTGGCTGCCTTTGAAATTCTGAGAGTCTTGTTCTTTGCAGAGTGCATTTACTTTGGTGCTAATTTCCTCATAAGAATCATTTAAAAAGTTGTATTTTAAAAATAAGGTCTTTGCTAGAACTAAATTGAGAATTCTATGATTCTTATCAGTTTATGGTGACTTGTTTTGACCTATCCCTACCAAAAGATCTAAATGTTGGAATCTCCTAAAAGTAGAAATTGTTAAGTATGAAAATGTGAGCAATGTGTCCTTTGTAATGAATTCTCAAAGTTGTACCAATGCGTTACCTCCAGTCATTTCTATAATTTAGATCCGGGAAATACCTTTTTTAGGTTGTTTTAGTTTAGGACCTAAATAGACATACATTATTTCATTGAATCTTAGCAAGTGCGAATCAACAGACCAGGCTTTGCCTCCAGTTTTATTCTGTTTCTACTAAGCAGTGGTATATTTTCTCTTAATTGTATTATTTAGTCATATCCCTTTCCCATTTATCCACAAGTCCCTTGGTGCTCTTATAGATATGCTAAATTCTTTATATGAGGTAGCAGTTAGCCCTTTACCTGCTATTTTTTGTTAATTTCTTTCCTATTCAATATTTGAATGGCTTTTGTATCGTATTAGTTTGTTTATATCTGCCTATCTTTTCCACTGTAATTTCTATTTCTTCAGTTGATAGAAAAGGATAACCTTTCAGGTGCTATTTTTACATTGTCATCTAAATTTTCTGTTATTTAATTTTTAAATTAACTCAATTGTCTCAAATTTTTTTTAATTGAAGTATAGTTGATGTACAATTTTATATAAGTTACAGGTGTACAGTATAGTGATTCACAATTTTTAAAATTTACATTCCATTTAGTTATTATAAAATATTGGCCATATTCGTCATATTACACAATATATCCTATTAGCTTACTTTATAGATAATATATAGTTTGTACCTCTTATTCCTCTACTACTCTATTGCCCTTCCCCACTTCCCTCATTATCTGAAATTTAAATTGGCATGTGGTGTGAAGTATGACTCAAGAAATGTTATTATTAAGTATGCCAAATATTGGATAATGTCTTCTGTCCCTTATTGATGATTTTTTTCTAGCCTTGGTTTATCACTTGGTTTTATTAATTATAAAATTTTATGATACTATAATCTTTTCAGATTACCTGTACTATTTCATTCACCTACATTTCTTTTTATGTATTTGTTCTATAATTTTTTGTTTTGTTTTTTTAATTGAAGTATAGTTGATTTACAATGTTATGTTAATTTCTGCTGTATATAATGTTTTAATTACTATTATTTCATAATATGGTCTAATGCCTGGTGGTGGAATACCCATAGTCTTTTGCTAAATGTTTTGATTTAATTTGGAGAACACAAATTATGAATATGGAATATATGATTAACATCTAATTTTATTCTTTCCCTTTTATATTTTATCTAGCATCAGTGGATACCACTACCTGGGAATATCCAGATGTCTGCAGATATTATTTTGGCTCCTTTGGGCAGTGGTCAAGTCTCCTTTGCTCCTTGGTGTCTCTTATTGGAGCAATGATAGTGTATTGGGTGCTTATGTCTAATTTTCTTTTTAATACTGGAAAGTTTATTTTTAGTAAGTATCCATATCCATATTTAACAGAGTTACTTTCAGATACAATAACTACTATAATGTTTTCATTTCAACCTTAAATTCTGGCCTTGAGATTAATAAAGTAAAAAGTAATATTTGTAATTCTAGAAGATATACTTGATTCAGTTTGTTTTCTATGGTTATGATCTCAAATACAATGTGTATGTTAATTTCCAAAAATTAATTTTTGAATAAATAATATTCCTTCAAATTCTCTAATTAACATAAAATATTTCTAAGTTCTAACAGATGTTTTAAGCATTGCTCAATTGTTACCACAAAATTTTAGTGTAACAGAAAAACTTATGAAGTTCCTTGGTGTTTGTTGCTAAAGAATTCAATGTGTAGAGTCTTGAAGAAACAAGTTTCAGTCATGTATTTTCAAAATATTAGAATCTAAAATTAGGAAACAATAGAATAGTGGAATTTATATGGGAAATATATTATTAAATAAGCCCTATATATTTAAAATCTAGATTTACATGAAAACCAAATTTCAAAATAAGTTCTAACATAACTAACTACAACAGCTAGTTTTCCTAAGAACTTTTGAGAGGCAGGTGAGTGAGGGAGATAAATTCTATTTTTATTTTAAACCATAAAATTAGCATTTTAATTAAGTTTTTTTATTAACAATCATTTTTATTGTATGAGAAATTATGAAATGTTTCAAACTACCAAGGAAATGCAGAGGGTAATAGAAATACCATTGTACCCACTAAATGAGTTTTCATGTCTTAACATTTTGCCATATTTACATTAGTTCTCTATTCTTACAGACCTATAAATGTAGCCCCAGGTGTACTCCTTCTCAATTTCATTTTCCTTCTTCCCTAATTTTGGTACAAAATAATGGTACCTACATGTTTTTGTTATCTTACTATATAAATATATAAGCAACATACCATATTATTTTGCATGTTTTTAATCTGTATAAATGCTACTGCAACTTGCTTTTTTCTGTAATCATCTTCAATAATACATTGTTCTAGTTCAATTTAACTGCTTTATTCCATAATATGAATGTACTGTGACTTCTTTATCCATTCTCTTGCTATTTAATTTGTTTTCAGTTATGTACTTTCCTGTTACAAACAAGATTTTGTTAAACATCATTGTTTGTCTCCTTGTGTATATGTGGGAGAGTTTCTTCAAACTATGTACCTATAAGACAAATTGCTGGAACTTAGAATATTCACATTTTCAACTTCACTAGAAATTACGGGATTGTTCTTTATCATTCTTATACCAGTTATATTCCTGCCAACAGTTTAGGAAACTTCCCCTTGTTCCACATCCTCATCCACACTTGATATTATCAGACTTAAATTTTGCCAGTTGGGATATGGTTTAATTTGCATTTCTCCTCATAAGGAATGATCCTAGACATCTTCTCTTAATTGGACATTATATAGCTTGTTATATCCTTTGCCCATTTTTCTTTTGGATTGTTGGTCTTTTTCTTATTTATTTATAGGAACTCTTTGTAAAGTTTTGATACTAATATTTATTCATTAATGTATGCAAATATCTTCCAGTTAGTGACTTATCTTCACTTGGTCTGTGGTGGCTCTCCGGTTCAGAAGTTTTTCTTTTACTTTCAAATTACTCAGTCTTTTTCATTATGGCCCACAACTCTTCCACATACATTTTAGAATCAACTTGTCAAATTCCACAAAAAATTCCAATCAGAATTTGATTGAAATTGTATTGAATTTATCAGTGTACCTTAATGTATCAACCACTACCATAATTGATGTCATTAGGGTACTGACTTTAGAATTTGATTGGCATTGCATTGGATATATAAATGTGGAGAGAATAATATCATTAGGATACTGAGTCTTACTGTCCATGATCATGGCATGGAATAGTTCTCCATTTATTTAGGTCTTTTTAAATATCTTTTAAATTTTTATTGATAAAGGTCTTACATATCTTATTTTTAGACTTATTTTATTCTCAGGACCCTAAAATTTTTTTTCTTTAGTAAAGCAGTTTTAGTTTAATATTCAAATACACATACTTTTTATTATAGAAAATTTCAAACATGTACAAATTAAATGGAACAACATAAAGAACCTTCATGTTCCCCTCACCTGTTTTCTTTCCTTCGTAAAACAAAATTATTTGTTTGTTTGTTTGTTTATTTATGCCTGCATTGGGTCTTTTTTTTTAACACTTTTATTGGAGTATGATTGCTTTACAATGGTGTGTTAGTTCCTGCTGTATAAAAAAGTGAATCAGCTATACATATACATATATCCCCATATCTCCTCCCTCTTGCATCTCCCTCCCACCCTCTCTATCCCACCCCTCTAGGTGGTCACAAAGCACTGAGCTGATCTCCCTGAGCTATGTGTCTGCTTCCCACTGTCTATTTTACATTTCGTAGTATATGTAAGTCCATGCCAGTCTCTCACTTCGTCCCAGCTTACCCTTCCCCCTCCCTATGTCCTCAAGTCCACTCTCTACACCTGCGTCTTTATTCCTGTCCTGCCCCTAGGTTCTACATAACTTTTTTTTTCTTTTTAGATTCCATGTATATGTGTTAGCATACGGTATTTGTTTTTCTCTTTCTGAATTACTTCACTCATATAACAGACTCTAGATCCATCCACCTCACTACAAAATACTCAATTTCGTTTCTTTTTATGGCTGAGTAATACTCCATTGAATATATGTGCCACATCTTTTTTTTTTTTTCACATCTTCTTTATCCATTCATCTGTCGATGGACACTTAGGTTGCTTCCATATCTTGGCCATTGTAAATAGACCTGCAGTGAACATTGTGGTACATGACTCTTTTTGAATTATGGTTTTCTCAGGGTATATACCCAGTAGTGGGATTCTGGGTTGTATGGTAGTTCTATTTTTAGTTTTTTAAGGAACCTCCATACTGTTCTCCATAGTGGCTGTATCAATTTACATTCCCACCAACAGTGCAAGAAGGTTCCCCTTTCTCCACCCCCTCTCCAGCATTTATTGTTTGTAGATTTTTTGATGATGGCCATTCTGACTGGTGTGAGGTAATATCTCACTGTAGTTTTGATTTGTAGGTCTCTAATGATTAGTGATATTGAGCATGCTTTCATGTGTTTGTTGACAATCTGCATATCTTCTTTGGAGAAATGTCTATTTAGGTCTTCTGCCCATTTTTGGATTGGGTTGTTTGTTTTTTTGATATTGAGCTGCATGAGCTGCTTGTAAATTTTGGAGATTAATCCTTTGTCACTTGCTTCATTTGCAAATATTTTCTCCCATTCTGAGGGTTGTCTCTTCATCTTGTTTATGGTTTCCTTTGCTGTGCAAAAGCTTTGAAGTTTCATTAGGTCCAATTTGTTTATTTTTGTTTTCATTTCCATTTCTCTAGGAGGTGAGTCAAAAGGATCTTGCTGTGATATATGTCAAAGAGTGTTCTGCCTATGTTTTCTTCTAAGAGTGTTATAGTGTCTGGCCTTACATTTAGGTCTTTAATTCATTTTGAGTTTATTTTTATGTATAGTGTTAGGGAGTGTTCTAATTTCATTCTTTTACATGTAGCTGTCCAGTTTTCCCAGCACCACTTATTGAAGAGGCTGTCTTTTCTCCATTGTATACTGTTGCCTCCTTTATGAAAGATAAGGTGACCATATGTGCGTGGGTTTATCTCTGGGCTTTCTGTCCTGTTCCATTGATCTGTATTTCTGTTTTTCTGCCAGTACCATACTATCTTCATTACTGTAGCTTTGTAGTATAGTCTGAAGTCAGGGAGCCTGATTCCTCCAGCTCCATTTTTCGTTCTTAAGATTGCTTTGGCTATTCGGGATCTTTTGTGTTTCCATACAAATTGTGAAATTTTTTGTTCTAGTTCTGTGAAAAATGCCAGTGGTAGTTTGATAGGGATTGCATTGAATCTGTAGATTGATTTAGGTAGTATAGTCATTTTCCCAGTGTTGATTCTTCCAATCCAAGAACATGGTATATCTCTCCATCTGTTTGTATGATCTTTAATTTCTTTCATCAGTGTCTTTTAGTTTTCTGCATACAGGTCTTTTGTCTCCTTAGGTAGGTTTATTCCTAGGTATTTTATTCTTTTTGTTGCAGTGGTAAATGGGAGTGTTTCCTTAATTTCTCTTTCAGATTTCTCATCATTAGTGTATAGGAATGCAAGAGATTTCTGTGCATTAATTTTGTATCCTGCAACTTTACCAAATTCATTGATTAGCTCTAGTAGTTTTCTGGTGGCATCTTTAGGATTCTCTATGTATAGTATCATGTCATCTGCAAACAGTGACAGTTTTACTTCTTCTTTTCCAATTTGTATTCCTTTTATTTCTTTTTCTTCTCTGATTATCATGGCTAGGACATCCAAAACTATGTTGAATAATAGTGGCGAGAGTGGACATCCTTGTCTTGTTCCTGATGTTAGAGGAAATGCCTTCAGTTTTTCACCATTGAGAATGATGTTTGCTGTGGGTTTGTCATATATGGCCTTTATTTATGTTGAGGTAGGTTCCCTCTGTGCCCACTTTCTGGAGAGTTTTTATCATAAATGGGTGTTGAATTTTGTCAAAAGCTTTTTATGCATGTATTGAGATGATCATGTGGCTTTTATTCTTCAATTTGTTAATATGATGTATCCCATTGATTAATTTGCATATTAATGCAAGAATCTTTGCATCCCTGGGATAAATCCCACTTGATCATGGTGTATGATCCTTTTAATGTGTTGTTGGATTCTGTTTGCTAGCATTTTGTTGAGGATTTTTGCATCTATATTCATCAGTGATATTGGTCTGTAATTTTCTTTTTTTGTAGTATCTCTGTCTGGTTTGGGTATCAGAGTGATGGTGGCCTCGTAGAATGAGTTTGGGAGTGTTCCTTCCTCTGCAATTTTTTGGAAGAGTTTGAGAAGGATGGGTGTTAGCTCTTCTCTAAATGTTTGATAGAATTCATCTGTGAAGCCATATGGTCCTGGAGTTTTGTTTGTTGCAAGAT